GCAATCCAAGCTATTATGGGGGCTGAGGCAGGAGGATCACTTGAACCTGGGAGGCAGAGGTTGCAGTGAGGCAAGATCATCCCACTGCACTGTAGCCTGGGCAACAGAGCAAGATTCCATCAGAAAGAAAAGAAAAGAAAGAAAAAAAGACAAGAAAAGAAAAGAAAGAAAGAAGGGGGGCATTATTGCTTTAAAAAAAAAAAAAGAAGCCGGGCGCGGTGGCTCAAGCCTGTAATCCCAGCACTGTGGGAGGCCGAGGCGGGTGGATCACGAGGTCAAGAGATCGAGACCATCCTGGTCAACGCGGTGAAACCCCGTCTCTACTAAAAATACAAAAAAATTAGCTGGGCATGGTGGCGCGTGCCTGTAATCCCAGCGACTCAGGAGGCTGGGGCAGGAGAATTGCCTGAACCCGGGAGGCAGAGGTTGCGGTGAGCCAAGATCACGCCATTGCACTCCAGCCTGGGTAACAAGAGTGAAACTCCGTCTCAAAAAAAAAAAAAAAAAAGAAATTGGCCATGTACGGTGGCTTACATGTGTAATTCCAACACTTTGGGAGGCTGAGGCAGGTGGATCACGAGGTCAGAAGTTTGAGACCAGCCTGGCCAACAGGGTGAAAACCCCATCTCTACTAAAAACATAAAAATTAGCTGGGCATGGCGGTGTGCACCTGTAGTCCCAGCCACTCAGGGGACTGAGGCAGGAGAATCGCTTGAACCCGGGAGGTGGAGGTTGCAGTGAGCCGAGATCGTTCACTGTATTCCAGCCTGGGTGACAGAGTGAGACTCCATCTCAAAAAAAAAAAAAAAAAAATTAAGCCACAGATCTAGTACAACTCTCTCATCTCACGGATGAGAAACAGACCCAGAGAGTCTGGGTGATTCACCAACATCCCACAGCAGCTGTGTCAAAATAGCATGCAAGAAAGTTACAGTCTGAGGTTTTTCTATTTCATTTTTAGGTAAATTTTGTATACACATATTATCCAATTTTAAATTGAAAACTCTATTCCCATTAAGGTGACCTCTGGAACCAATGGGCAAATAAAGAGGTAGGTACAGACTTCCCCACCATTCCTCCCTCTTCTCATCTCCTTGCCTTCCACATCCAGAGAAAATCCTTCCCCGCCAGGCAATGACTTCATCGATTTCCTTCTCACTAATTTGAATACTCTTATGGGAGAGCCAAACAAAAAATGAAAATGATGAATGACCCCTTGTGCAATGCAGAAGAAATGTGGCGTTTAGGATCTCAAAGTGACGGAATACCCCTCATGCAGAAACAGAACATGCTTCTCTACGAAACAAAAAGCAGAAACAAAGGTATTTCAGAGCCCAGAGGGCGTTTGGCCAAATGGTAGATGTGTAAAAGATTTTAAAGGGGCAGGTGAAAGCAAATCAACTCTCACCTCCAAAGCAGGTAACTTTTATTTGAAAGAAAAACAAAAGTTCCTCTAAATAAGCCACAAAGCTCGGTCAGGGGAGAAACAGAAATGGGAGAGGGGGATGCTTAACATGTAGGAGGGAAAATACCTGCTTGGTTATCCAGCGTATTTATTTTACACATTCACAGGATATCCAGCATATTTATTTTATACATTGACTCAAACACATTTTTAATGTGGAGCTCAGCCTCTATCTGCACATCCCATGTATCCAGGTGACTGGTCAGACCTCAATTACCAAGAACACTAACTTAGGGTATCTGAAAAGTTTCTACTTAGAAACTACTGTTAAATCATCCCCCAAGTTTGGACAATGCTGCTTTCTTACCATAGATTTCATACTACATCAGAATCTTGAAACATATTCTCAGATTTTATTTGCAGTTTCCAAAGCAGGTGGCTATTGGCAGTGCCTTGTGGGGAAAGCACCTGCTTAGTTGGTAGCTGAAGAGGGGATTAAACCAACTCTTGGTGGCCACCCACTCCACGTCAGAGACTGCAATGGGCTTTCCACAGTGCCACCTGCTCTGACCTTCCCCACATGAATGGCATTACCATGAGTGGGCATTACTGCAGCTTCTCCATTTTAAGACGAGGTGTCATAGAATCTGCTTCAAGCCAGTAGCCAATGAAGCTCCAGGGCCTGTCCCGCTTTCAGCATGCCATGCAGCCTTGCCCAGTGGTAAACCAAACTTCAGTAAACTCAGGCTGGTTTTTCCAAGGTCATGTCATTGGCCCTACTGCTAAGGAATAGCCTCTTTGCAATCTATAGACTAAGGCTGGGAGTGGCTCACACCTGTAATCCCAGCACTTTGGGAGGCCAATGTCGGTGGATGTCAGGAGTTCAAGACCAGCCTGACCAACATGCTGAAAGCCCATCTCTACTAAAATTACAAAAAATAGCCAGGTGTGGTGGCACATGCCTGTAATCCCAGCTACTCAGGAGGCTGAGGCAGGACAATCACTTGAAGCCGGGAGAAGGAGGTTGCAGTGGGCCGAGACTGCACCACTGCTCTCCAGCTAGGTGACAGAGTGAGACTCTGTCTCAAAAAAAAAGAAAAAAAAATCTATGAACTAGAGTGGAAACAGCTCAAAGCATCATAGTGGAAACAGTTCCAACCAGCAGAGTGGAAACAGTTCCAACCATCAGTGGATTCAGCTCACTATTAAACTACAATCAACACACTTGGCTTTTTCTCTAAGATAAACCCAAACTAGGGGGAACAGAGTATAGAGAAGTCCCTGCCACCATCTTTCTTAATTATCTTTTCCAGCTCCAAACCTTGCCTTATTACCATTTCTGGTTTTTTATTGCTTGCTTAAATAATGCAGAGGCATTTGACAAAATGAATATCAAATGTTGTTACAATCAAGCAATTCTGCAGAGTAATAAACATCTGGGTTTTTTTTTTTTAACAGAGGATGTAGTAATGTCAGGTGTAGATGTTCTGACTGTCACAGAAGGTTTAGGGGTCTCAGGAAGGTGTGGGTGATGCACAAGGCACATCCACGCAACTGTGAAAATGTTCAAACCACTGCAGATTTGGCTCTTTTGAAATGACTGTGAATTACCTGTGAAAATGACAATTAAAGGGTTAAGATTTTTAAAAAAGAGAAAGTTCAATTAAAAAGAGACTTGCTTCACATATAAGAGAAACAAACATGAACAGTTTACTATATTTTCTCATCTTTCAAAGAAAGTTGGACTAAAAAAACATTTTAGGCAAAACAGTCACGAGCAACAAATGACTGGTTCTAGTATAATGAGAACAAAACTGTCAAAATCTTCAACAAAAACTTCGTTCCAAGAAAACATCTACCATGCCAGGCACGGTGGCTCAGGCCTATAATCCCAGCACTTCAGGAGGCTAAAGCAGGAGAATCACTTAAATTTAGGAGTTCAAGACCAACCTGGGTAATATAGTGAGACACCCGCCCCCCCGCATCTCTACAAAATAATTTAAAAATTATCCAGGCATGGTTCATGCCTGTGGTCCCTGCTACTCAGGAGGCTGAGGTGGGAGGATCACTTGGGCCCAGAAGGTTGAGGCTGCAGTGAGCCATGATCAGACCACTGTACTCCAGTCTGGACAACAGAGTGAGATCCTGTCTCCAAAAAAAATAGCAAAAACATACACACATCACAATCCTGAGTGCAGACCACACCAATTTGTTTCATGGACATCTACAGCATTGTTGTTGAAGGATGCGTCATGAAGGCTAAAAAGAACTGCACACAAAGTTTGAATAATAATGAGAGTTTGATAAATATTAGCTATGTACTAAGAACTCTGCTGACATATTATCCCAGTGTGTCTTTGCCCTAGCCAGTGAGGCACCCTGAGGGCAGGCCCAATGTCCTCTCTATTCCCCATGGGTCCCACAGCCTCACACAGGGTCTTGCACACAGCTAGGGTGCCAGAGAAAGTAGTTGAGTAATTAAACTTTTTTTTAAGTAGACAATTTCCAGCTACATTATACAGATAGGGAAATAGAGGCATAAAAGGTTACTGATTTCCCCAAGGTTGCTTGTCTAACAAATTGGGATTCCAAACCAGGGCAGCAGGACCCCATCGCAAGATCTAAGTCATGTAAAATGAATGAACCATAGGCCAATATGCAATGTCTGCAAGCACTTTCTGCCCCAGATAGCCTACCATATCATGTACTTTTTTTTTTTTTTTATAAAAGTCTCATATACCCTCAAAAGATGAAGACTGCCACCACTGAAACATTCAAAAGATGGATGCTATGGGTCTGAAAGAGCTTCAACTGTTTTCAGCACAGCAGAGTCCCTGCCACAGCTAGGCAGCTTGCCCTACCCTGAAGGAGACCATGTTTACTGCACTCCAGGTGACATTCACTCTTGCCGTTCTGTGCAGTCAAACTTGGAATGCTTCAAGTTGTCCAATAGTAAAATGATGTACAACTGCAACAGACTGAATGTGTGTGTTCCCTCCCCAGTCTCTGTCAAAATTCATGTGTTGAAATCCTAACCCCCAATGTGATGGTAATCACTGTTGGAAGGTGATTAAGTCATAAGGGTGGAGCCCTCACTAATGGGATTAATGCCCTTCTACCTGAGGACGGTTAAGAGCTCTCTTACCCCCTTTCCACCAGGTGAGGATACAAGTCAGCAGTCAGCAGGGCTCGGTTGCTCATTCCTGTATTCCTAGCACTTTGAAAGGCTGAGGCAGGAGGATCATTTGAGGTCAGGAGTTTGAGATCAGCCTGGCCAATGAAGAAACCCCGTCTCTACTAAAAATACCAAAAAAAATTAGTTGAGTGTGGCGGCGCATGCCTGTAATCCCAGCTGCTCAGGAGGATGAGGCAGAATTGCTTTAACCCAGGAGACAGAGGTTGCAGTGAGTCGAGATCCTGCCATTGCACTCCAGCCTGGGCCACAGAGAGACTCCATCTCAAAAAAAAAAAAAAAGAAGAAGAAGAAGAAGAAGAAGAAGTCAGCATTCGACAATCTGGAAAAGAATTTGACCAAGCTGGGTAGCACCTTGATCTCAGACTTTTAGTCCCTGGAATGGTGAGAAACAAATTTCTGTTGTTTACAGGTCACTCAGTGGATGGCACCCCAAATTGATGAAGACATCAGCATCAATGCTGAGAGGACACTGGGACGGTGAGTTCTAATGAAAATGTCACCCAAATAGAACACACTATCGCTATCATAAACGGTAAACATCAGAACTCTCCCCTACTTAAAAAATCAGTTACAAAACACGAAAACAAACAACCAAGAACACTAAAAGTTAATGTAGAAGCATCTCTGAAAAATACCAGGCCACAGGATAATTCAACTTCAGGAGCTTGGCATGTGAAAAGTTAACTTATTCATGTGTTGAATTAGAACAACAACAACAAAGTTTTGATGGAGAACTTGCCAGAATAACCCTTCTGTCACACCGCTGCCAAAGTCAAAGGCTAAAGTTACATTTTAAACTTTAGAAGTAAATATTAAAATGAAGATTTTTAAAAATTCTTCAATAATTTTCACTTTTAAAGTACCAAACTGACACATAAAAAAATTCGCACTAATTATTCCAAGCAATCAACGTCTTTAAAACCCTTTCACAATTACCCTAATATCCCATTAATTTGGGACACTTACCAATGTATTTATTCTTTGCTCATTACCTATGTGCACATTAAGAGTACACCAATAACACAATACAGGCATTAATATGTAAAACATCAACAAAAGCCATCTGGAAAGCTAATGAATAATCAAGGGATTTCAAATTAAACTATAGAATTTTCCCTTAGAATCTTTAGGACAACACTGTCAAGCTCAATCTATTCACTTCGCCTCCAGAATCAATTTTTCAAACTTTATGACAGGTCTAATCGCTTCCACCTGTGTCTCCAGCTTGACTCTTGACTGGCATGCTACCAGCCAGGGTGGAAATGTAGACAAAGACCCCTATTAGGATCCGGCTGTTTCTCTACTGTGAGGTCACTCAGCCATTAAATTAGTTCCAGCCCAATTTCTGTCCTCTCGGGCCTCAACTTCAGGGGAGGAGGGTGCAGAGTTGAGTCAGTTGGCAGCACAGAACCAGAAGGGAAGAAAAGGGGGAAAGATGTTTGGGACTGACTAGGTAGGTGTGCATGCGGCTGAAAAGCTGGGGTGCACCCCAAACTCTGAAGTTGAAATACTTTCTTCAATGACTGCAGCTATTCTCCCCAATGCTTTCCTGTCCCCCTTTCCATTTTTAAAAAACGTATATTTTATGGGATTGTGTTTCCTTTTCTTCTTCACTTGTAGAAAGTCAACTGTCTCCCACACAACATTTCCTCAACTCACACAAGCCTGATTCACAAAATCAGGCGCTTTTAGCTCAGCCATCTAAAAGTGCCAGAGGTCACTGAGAGATAGGAAGGCTGGCTGGTGGAAGCTCTGGTGTGGGGACATTGCCGGGGCAACGGAGTTGAGCTGAGGGTGCCTAGAGAGCATCTAGTGCTACAACGCTGAAGCCAGCAAGGCTCAGGGAGGAGAGACTATCCAGGTCACAGAGCTAGTGAATGATAAAGTCTTGGTTCCAGCATTTTCCCTACTAGGTTATGAGCTCTACAGCAACAGGAACAAGGCCCGACACAGTAACAGCAAAAACAAAAACAGAAACTCTGCACGTCTCTCCTGTATCACTGTGCCCACTTCCTTTCTGCCCAAAGCCCCAGTGCTCAGACCAAGAATGGTATATGCGACTTTACAAACTGGCACATGCACCAGGATCTGCTTCTGCAAATGCGCCGTCAGGCATGGATGCTGCCTTAGCCACTGTGACACCTCTCCAGTGCCTGACGCGGTGCCTGGCATACAGGAGATGCTCCAGAAATGCTCATCCCATCAGGCAAAGAAGCCAAATCTAAGCCTGGAACATCAAGAGACATAAACGGTGACAAATGAGAAATCAGCTTATTTAACAAGAAAATCTAAAATATTCTTTACAAATACGAGACGTCCAACCCTTGGCCAGCTCATTCAGAATGCACGAATATATGCAGGAAATCAGCATAAGCAAGGAAGGTTATGCTCATCTGCTCACCACACACTGCAGCTTCACGTCATTTCACTACCTGACAGAGACTTGGTATAAGTCAATCAAAAAAGATACTATCGGCCAAATAAAAGATGATTCCAAAAATTGCACAATGACTCAGTTATCCCAAGCTCCTATGTTTCACAGTCTAATCTCACGCTGTCTCCAAAGTAGAGGGTCGATTGTCATTTATCAGGAGATTAAATGGAATGTGCCGCACTCCCACCAGGTCAAGGCAGAGAGAGCTCTGGGAGGGGCTTTTCCTGCAGTGACAATAGATTTGCACTGGCCAGTCCACACCCCCTTCTCTAGACCCCACTACCACTAATAGCTCACATTTGCAAAGGGATTCCTGAGCTGTAGCTGTGGGATGTGGCCCTGGAACAAGTTGAAGTTCACCGTCACAGATACAGACACAGAGTGGACCCATGTCCCTGGGACTCTACCTAACTGTTCACAGGGAAACCTACCAAGAAATAGCACAGGAAAATAAAGGCCTCTGGCGTGAAACATAACCAGTAATACACGGGCATGGTGACATGGTTAGGCCCTGTGTCCCCACACAAATCTCATCTTGAATTATAACCCTTTAATCCCCGTGATCCCCACACGTCAAGGGAGAAACCGGGTGGAGGTAACTGGATCATGGGTGTGGTCCCCCTGGGCTGTTCTCATGATAGTGAGTTCTCAGGAGATCTGATGGGTTTGTACATGTTTGCTAGTTCCTCCTGTGTTCATTCTCCTTCCTGCCGCCCTGTGAAGAAGGTGCCTTGCTTCCCCTTCGCCTTCCGCCATGACTGTAAGTTTCCGGAGGCCTCCCCAGGCATGCTGAACTGTGAGTCAGTTTAACCTCTTTCCTTTATAAATTACCCAATCTCAGGCAGTTCTTTATAGCAATGTGGAAACAGACTAATACACATGGCACCCAGAAAGTGCTACCCTGACAATAGTGTGGAAAAGCAATTCATGGTCAGGAAGACATGTCAGAGAAAGTGGCTGGAGCCTGGGATAAAGGATGAAATAAACTTTTGTAAGCAAAAGAGTCTGGTGGCAAAGCCAAGTCAGATTCCTGGGGGAAAGAGCATCACTCACGGGGTTTGGCTTTTTACTTTGAGGGTAGAGGGGGCTCAGTCATCAGCAAGCAGCACCCACATTGCCCTGTGACTTCCTCTCCCCAGAGTGCTCTCCCCTCTACTCAATCACAAATGTGCTTAAAAACTTGCAGGGTGGAGGCACAAGGTAAAGGTGCGGGGCGGTTAATGTTCTAAGAAAAGCTACTCAGAGAAATGGAAGCTCTCTACAACAGTACCATGGTAGCTCAGCTGGATTTGCAGTCAAAGAAGAAAATATGATGTCCTCCAAAATCTGTCAGAAATCTCCAAATCCTCTATATTTGTCAACACCTTAAAAAAAAAAAAAAAAAAATTCCTCTAATGGCTGAGCACAGTGGCACACACCTGTAATCCCAGTACTTTGGGAGGCTGAGGCGGGCAGATCGTCTGAGGTCAGGAGTTCGAGACCAGCCTGACCAACATGGAGAAACCCCAACTCTACTAAAAATACAAAATTAGCAGGGCGTGGTGGCGCATGCCAATAATCCCAGCTACTCAGGAGCCTGAGGCAGGAGAATCGCTTGAACCCAAGAAGTGGAGGTTGCCGTGAGCTGAGATCACACCATTGCACTCCAGCCTGGGTAACGAGAGTGAAATTCCAACTAAAAAAAAAAAAAAAATTCCTCTAATTACCTTGAGTAAGCACTGAAACAAAATCAGTGTTGTAGGTCAAATAATTCCGTGTGATCCTAAATCTGGTAGGCCCTGGCACTGTAAGAATGTGTATACTGCTTTCGGCGCCTCCAGCTATTTTTCCTGATAGTCTGAAAAACTGAAAGTAGATGCCTGAGGCAGAATTCTAATTTTCTTCCAATGTCTACCTTCCTCCCCTTCATAATGATAGAAGCCTGGCTTCCAGTGAGATTCATGGATGCCCACCTATAAAGACCACATTTATTTCTCAGCCTTGTTTCTAGGTAGACAGGTCATGTGACCAGCTACTGTTTATAATATATAAGCAAAAAGGTCATGTGCAACTTCTGTCCCTTAAAGAATTGCCTTCTTTAACGCTTCCTCCGGCTTACTGGCTCAGGTAAGAACATAAACACTGGGGTTGCCATCTTGGGCATGTGCTGAAGGTGGCCGAACAACTCAAGTTGGCCCTTGACACATGAGCCAACACGCCAATGCTGCACTTCCCATCTCAGCCTATCTCATTTGCAGGAGAGAAAAATAAACTTTCATCCTGTTTCCGTTTTGGGATATCTGTTGCACAGAGCGAAACCTAATCCTAATTGCCCTAGGAACTGGTACCTGAATCGGGGTGATAGGTCTTAGATTTTACGTATGCCACCAGAAATAAGGCCTCGAAGTGCTGCCTGATATGGAGGAGATGGGCAGGGGATGGCTGGCAAGGACACAGGTGTCACAGGTTCTCCACTGGTGACCACTGCAGCAAAGCCTTTGATCGAGTCCTGACCTTCTACATGTCGGGAGGTGGACCTAGTATCTGTTAGAAGCTGTATCCTTAGGAGACAGCTCTGAAAATTCAAAATGACAGCGTTTGCCAGTCCTTGACATTCTCAGCAACGTTCAAGCAAAGAGAAATAACCCCTAACTAAAGCTAACTAGTCTCAAGAAAGGGAGAAAAATACAGATTTGATTAGAAAGGAGCTTTGTTTCAGCAACCAACATTCTAAGTTGAGCCTATGGGGCTGTCTCTGCAGTCCCAGCAGGAGATAAGACAGATGCTTCACTGTATAGGGCCCAGAAGTGTGTGCCAAAGATATGATTAAGGGCCTGGCCTTCCACCCAAGCCCACGGTTTCATTTGGCCTAAGGGAGGTGCTATTAAATTGGGAGGGAATGGAATGGCAGAGCACTGAGGCCTTTAAAAGACCAGTTTTTAGGCTGAAAAACTGTCTAGACAAGATCTTGATGGTTACTCACATGGAACCAATCAGAAGCAAACAGACTGGAGGGCTACTAAAGTCTTGAGAGACTTGTATCTCCACAGAAACCTTAAGGCTGGCCTATAAAAACTGTGACTATTCAGTCCTCAAAACAACACCCAGACCCCAAATCCTCCCAGGAAGCGCGTGTTAGAAGCCCATCCTCTCCAGTATCCATCTCCGACGTGGTGCAGAGAAGACCCTTTCAGAAGGCAAAGCCATGACTCTAAAAAATGCCAGGAAACAGTTCCCAGAGGGCAGAACATGGGTTGCCAGACAGTGACAAGGAAACGTACTGGCTGCCAGTGCAGGAGATGCAGGGGGACTTGATGGTCCCGATTTCTACTACAGCAGCGTGGCATACGGTGTGCTGGGGGCAGACAGCTCGTCTGTTTCAATTAACAGATTACAAGGCCTCAATAGGCACTTGTGGCCCTAAAAGAGAAAACAGTACATCACCCGGAGATCCTGAATCTGACTGAGTGGAAGGAAAAGAATGTGATACTAGGGTCATCTTCCTTGAGAAAGGGGTAAGAGTTTTCTATGGAGAGGAAGAGAGAGATGCATGTGGATATCTGGGACCTCAGCAGAAACTGCTGGCTGTTCCCTACTGTGTCCTCCCCCGTCTTCCTTAGGAATACAACTCCCAGTTTTTAGCTGGTGCAGGTTCTATGATGGGGAAGGGAAGACAGAGAGAAAGTTTTTAAAAATAGTATATCAAGATCCATACCTAATGTAAATTTCACTTATATTTCAGCCTATCAGGAAAGAGCTGCTCAATTGCTGCAGAAATGATATACACATATGAAGAGAGAAATAAGCACTGAGAGAACTCAGTCTATGGTTTTGAAACTTTTTCTTGTCCTGTCCAATTGGTTCATCGAAGTGATAGTCTCATCACGTTGACCAGGCTGGTCTCAAACTCCTGGGCTTAAGCAATTCTCCTGTCTCAGCCTCCCAAAGTGCTGCAATTACAGTCATGAGCCACAAAAAAAAAATATGCCATATTTTTTTTTTTTTTTTTTTTATGAGACAGTCTTGTTCTGTCACCCAGGCTGGAGTGCAATGGCATGATCTCAGCTCACTGCAACTTCTGCCTCCCGGATTCAAGCGATTCTCCTGCCTCAGCCTCCCAAGTATATGGGATTACAGGCACGTGCCACTACTGCCTGGCTAATTTTTGTATTTTTAGTAGAGATGGGGTTTCATCATGTTGGCCAGGCTGGTCTTGAACTCCTGATCTCAAATGATCTGCCCACCTCGGCCTCCCAAAATGCGAGGATTACAGGCGTGAGCCACTGTGCCCAGCTGCATCCCACATTTTCAATAAATATTCAGAAGCAGGAATAATTCCACAAACAATAAATTCTGTTACCTGGAATTCTACACACTGGTGTGATACTAGTGGTTGACACTGTTCTGGTAATGACTCCAAAGCACTAAAACAACGGTTCCCAACCTTTTTGGCACGAGGGTATAATTTTGTGGAAGACAATTTGTCCACAGGTAGGGGTTTGGGGGTGGTTCTGGGATGAAACTGCTCCACCTCAGATCATTAGGTATTAGATTTTCTTAAGGAGCACACAACCTAGATCCCTCACATGCATAGTTCACAATAGGATTTGAGCTCCTATGAGAATCTAATGCTGCTGTTGATTTGACAGGAGGTGGGGCTCAGCAAGTGATGCTCACCTGCATTGCTCACCTGCTGCTGTGCGGCCCAGTTCCTAACAGGCTACAGACCGGATGGGTACCAGTCCACAGCCTGGGAGCTGGGGATCCCTGCACTAAAAATTAATGTATGAGATTCATTGATTTGTGTAAAGCAGCAACCGGAAGAGAAGAGCTGCAGTACACGTTACCTATTATTACTGCCACAAATAGACTATGTTTCCATAAGGATAGCTCATTAGAATAGTTTGGATTTGTGTTCCTTCCCAAATCTCATGTCGAATTGTAATCCCCAGTGCTGGAGGAGGGCCTGGTGGGAGGTGATCGGATCATGGGGGTGGATTTCATCCTTGCTGTTCTCACGAGATCTGGTTGTTTAAAAGAGTGTGGCACCACCCCCTTGGCTCCCTTCCTCCTGCTCCCACCATGTAAGATGTGCCTGCTTCCCCTTCACCTTCTGCAATGATTTTAAGTTTCCTGCAGCCTCCCCAGTCATGCTTCCTGTACAGCCTGCAGAACTGTGAGTCAATGAAACCTCTTTTCTTTGTAAACTACCCAGTCTCAGGTCCTTATAGCAATGCGAGAACCAACTGACACACTTGTGTAGGATCAAATACAGTTTTAGAAATATTTTGGTCTTATTCTTGGAATGTAACAAGCCATGCATTTTGTTCATCCATCTATCTCGTGGTCCCTCTAACACCAAGGTGATCTCTTCAAATATCTTCTCCTTACAAAGGAAACTGCCTCCCACCCAGAAGAATTTCTTCCCAGGCTCACTGACTCAGTAGGCTTCTGTGAGTAACTTCACCTAGCAGTGTTAGGAAGGAACCCCCGGGAACAGTGGACGCAGTACATCTATGGTAAGCTAAGGCCATCAACAGCCATTCATTCCATATCAGCTCTGCCCCAAGCAAGGTATTCATAACAATCAAACCAGACAAGAAGAGAAACAAAGATTCCTAAACACTCTCAGAAAGGCTAAAATATTTTTCCCCTTTGAAAAATAAAAACTCTTAACCCTATGGGACTTTCCACCTCTACTGTTGGCAAGCTCAGCTTCCATGTCTGTCAAACACTTTTACAGACCCAAGTTCACAAAGGCAGAGGGTTTTTTAAAGTTTAATATCAAAAGTAAACTTCCTGATATCCAAGAATACTAAGGTCATGTATTTATACAGGTTCTTTTTCACCCCAAAACACAGGCTGGACAGCATGTGGTGAAGCCCTCTGCAGATGCATAGAAGCCTCGATCCCTCCACACGCTCAAGGCACGTGCTGACCTCTTGGTGATGCACTGCCCCGGCCACGAGCTCCAGGACCACACTTCCAAAGTTCCCAGACTGCGCTCACATGAAATATTCTTCAGTGTTCTCCACAGAAACAACAAAAATGGTCCGAAAGTACACGTATTTTTTAATCTAAACTTCACCTCCCCAAATCTGTTGTTCAATAGCTTGTCTGATTTTATTTAGAAAATTTAACTATCAGGAGTTACCCCTTCAATGTAATAAAGTCTTCACTTGAGTAACAAAAGGATTATTACAGAGTTTGCAACAAGCAGGCGATGACTGTTCCATCTACAAGAACAGGCTTTTTCCTTTTCTACTGGGAAGCAATGGGTGTCAGGGGAGGGGTGGAAGCAGGAGAATTAGGGGACACTAAAAAATAAAAGTACCTATGACAACACAAATTAACTCAGTATACAACAACTGTTAATGAACATGGCTCACAGTTCCCCTCCCAGTCTGTCCCCATTGCTCTGATAATCCTCCCAAACGATTCAGCCAATGCTTCCTCTAA